ACTGTGATCAGGATGTAATGCATGAGAGAAGAATAAAAAACAATTAAAAGAAAATATCAATATCCACCTACCAGGAAACATACAGTGTTTGTCTTTCTGAGTCTGGATTACCTCACTTAGGATGATTTTTTTTCTAGCCCCATTTACCTGCAAATTTCATTTTTCTTAACAGCTGAATAACATTTTATTGTGTAAATGTACCACATTTTTATTATCCATTTACCAGTTGATTGACATTTAGGCTATTTCCACTTTCTGCCTATTATGAATAGAGCAGTAATGAACTTGGATGAGCAAGTTTCCCTGTACTAATGTATCATGGGGTATATGTTCAAGAGTGGTATAGCTGGATCTTGTGGTAGATCAGTTTTCAACTTTTTGAAGATCCTTCACACTGATTTTCGTACTATTTTGCACTCTCATCATCAATGAATAAGTTCGGTCATTTGTTATAATGATCTTGGCCATTCTGACTAGGATAAGATGGAATCCCAAAGCAGTTGTAATTTGCATTTCCCTGGAGCCTAAGGGTCTTCAAGTGGTGCTTTTTTTTTTTTTTTGCATTTATGTTTCATTTCTTGAGAACTTACTGTTTAGTTCTATATTCTATTTTTAATTGTGTTATTGATTTCTTGCTGTTCAGTTTTTGAGTTCTATGTGTTGTCTAGGTATTAGTCCTCTGAAAATGTGCAATTGGTAAAGATGATTCTCCCCCGCCTACTATCGGCTCCCTTTGCTTTAATGATGTTGTCCTTTGCTGTTCATAAGCTTTTCAGCTTCATCTCATGAGGTTCTGTTTATTAATTGTTGGTCTCAAAACCTACATTATTAAGATCCTGTTCAAAAATTCTTTTCCTGTGTCAATGAGTTTGATCCTACTCTATACTTTCTCTTCTGTCTTATTCAGTTATATGGTCTTATTTTGAGGTCCTTGGTCCATTTGGAGTTGAGTTTTATGCAGGGTTTATAGATACAGATCTAAATCATTCTTTGACATGTAGGTATCCATAAGAATCATTGCTCTTCAAATTACAGACTGTTGCTAATGCTATTCCTGGCTGTCCCCAACCTGATGGTAAGACCCTGCTGCTGAATACACCACATACTTAATTCCATCAAATATAGAGAAATTGAGCTAAAGTTCGAAAACAAGCTCCACCCTCTACTGACTAGTATTTATAGTGTTAAAAGGTAATGTATATTATATAGCCAGAAAAGATACTATAGAAAGCTACAATGCTGACCTGCCTATAAGACATACCCACTGGTACAAAGATGCAAAAATGTTATGGGAGTAACCAATCACTTTTTATTGGATATAAGAGCAGCTTCATGAGATGAAACCCACACCTGACACTATTAAAGAAGCCAAGAACCTGGGGCTGGATATGTTATGGATCTTGGATAAAGCTTAATATGTAAACATAATATATATTATATATAAAATTTGTGATACATATATGCTATAACTATAAATCAATGCCTCCCCCAACCCATGTCAGAGGAGCTTCTTGCAGTAGATGATAATTTACATAGAAACCCACAAATGGACAATGTGCAGAGAGTGGGAGACCTTGGAACACTCACTACTAAATGGGGTGTCTTTATTACACCCATACCCTTAAGGCTCAAAGATTTAGGTGGAAGAGGAGGCAGAATCACTGTAAGCACTGGAGGTGATGTAAGACTCTAAAAAACAGAATTCACCAAATACAGCAGGGCCCATGCACACAAGAACACACAGAAACTGTGGCAGCATGCAGGAGACGTGCACCAGCTCAAGCCAGACAAATTCTCAGCATTGAGAATGGGAAATGGGAACAAAGTCCCATCCTTACCCAAGAATTCATATTTAATTCATATTTGCTAGGAGAGGGAAAAATCAGTCTTTTTTTCAGTGAGGTGTATTGACAGTGGGTATATCAACCACACTCCAGGATAGGCCTCATTCTCAGGAGGAGTTGGCCAACACAAAATACACTCACTCCACACTTTTTCTGTGCTTGTTTTTTTTTTTTAAAGAAAGAAAGAAAGACATGAAGTTAGGTGGGTCAAGAGGGGGGGAAAGAAGTAAAGTTAGAGGGAAGGGAAAGAATATAATCAAACTATAGTGTATAAAAATTGAAAAAAATAAATACAAATAAACTAAATAAACTTTGGCCGCTTCGTATCACCACATGGGGACCAAATTGCTTTAAAATGTATACCAGCTCACACTCAGACAAAAGAATATATGAAGCCTAAGAAATTTAACATGCTGCCTACATGCTAATATCTAATATGATTCCAACTTAAACTCATTTTGATGTCATGTTTGGCCAATGCCTTAATCTCTCTGAGGTCTTAGTTTTAAAAGCAAGGTCTTGAATCTCTTGATTTCATTTCTTTCAATGGACATAAACGTTGTGAGCATCTTCCAGTCATTTGTGAGGGAGACTAGAACACACAACTCACAATATTATTCCTAGATTAGCTTTCGTTGGAAAACTATTTTAATTCAGTAACAGACATTATTCAAAATGTTAATGTTAAACTTGTAAACAGGCAATTTTATTCAGAACTCTACACTACATGGTTTATTGGACAATGTAATAACGTGGCATAGTGATTTCTGTAGGGATTACATGCTGAAATGTTTGGTTAAAACTCCCTAGTGTTTATTTCCATTTCTGAGCTTTATTTTTTTTTTTAATTTTTTTTTTTTTGGTTTTTCGAGACAGGGTTTCTCTTTGTAGCTTTGTGACTTTCCTGGAACTCACTTGGTAGCCCAGGCTGGCCTCAAACTCACAGAAATCCGCCTGGCTCTGCCTCCCGAGTGCTGGGATTAAAGGTGTGCGCCACCACCGCCTGGCCATTTCTGAGCTTTATATGGAATTTAAGTTTGTGATCTGTATTTCCTCTGTATATTTTTCGTATAACTTTTTTTCTGGGTAGCACTCCATTATAAGATTTATAGTACTCAAAAAAAAACACTAAGCTTTTTTTTTTTTGGTTTTCTTTTCCATTTCTTTTATCAAAGACCTTAACTTAGAGAAAAATGATCAGAATTCAGAATTGTTTAAACTTCATCAGAAAGAGAGGTAGAAAGAAGTGAAGAGAACCACTAATAGCTCTGTGGCCAGTTCCTTCCCTCATGCCTCCTCTGCTCATTTTCTTGAACAATCATTTTCAAAAGGCCAGCCATAATCCTCATGGTTGCCCCGTCCTGCGGGCAAGGTTATTTGATGAGACCCGAGGAGGCACCTCCGGAAAGATCAATGGGGGCGAGAGAGAAAGGAGACCAGGCGCATAAAAGAAGACAAAGTCAGTCTGAGTCATGTCAAGGTCTCGTTTATTGCAAGGGGAATCAGGTTTATATATGCTAGGGGCTAGGAGAAGTAGATAGGGGTATGGAAAGTTACTAGGAGGAAGTTAGGGTAAGATAGAGTTCAGAAAAAGGTCTCTTTGTTCCAGGGCCTGATCAACGGACCATACAGCAAACCATTATGTTTCAGGGAGCTGATCAAAAGGTACATACTGTGGTCTTGTTGAAAAATGGTTGCTATTGAAACTGTTAACGGAAGGTTAGGTACACAGCTTTTTCCCATGAGAATCAGTTAGGCTACTTGGCTCCTGACACATGGTTACCCACTGGGCCCTACAGGTGACTTGACAATGACCACCTCTGGCTCTTTCTGTCTTCGATAGCATATTCGTAGATAGCTACTTATTCTCAGCCTTCTACAGGTTTTGCTAAAATGTGACTTCCTTGGGATGTCTCTCTTGAGTATCTCATTGGCAATTATAGCTACTTCTCTCATAGGACTGATAATCTTTGAATAAAACACATGGACTTATCTTTAATTACAGGTATTCTTTCTGCTAAAATTAAATACTGAGAAGGTAGAGATTTCTGTCTTATTTGTTCCATTTTATTTACAGATCTGATCAATCATGTAATGGAGATAAGAAAGAGAGAGAGAGAGAAAGAGAGAGAGAGAGAGAGAGAGAGAGAGAGAGAGAGAGAGAGAGAGAGAGAGAGAGAGAGGAAACGTATTTATTTTTCCATTTTGGGAGAAATAATAATTTTAAATGAAAGAACAGTTTTAAAGTGATAGGATATTGAACTTACAGTAAGGTCTGGGCACACAGCCTGCTCTAATTGGGTGTGAAAATATTTCCTACAGCAAATTTTATTATGTGTGTGCTTATGATTTGTTTTGCTATATTTTTACTAGAAACTGCAAAAACATGTGTTAAGAGAAAAGACATTTTTATATTTGATCTTCCAATGCATGGTAAAAGTGAAAAGAGGCTTGTATACTCGGTCCAAAAGGAAATTACTCTATAATTATTATGTATAAATATTTAGTATAAAAAATATAAAGAAAAATTGGCTTGAGGTGTTAAAAAGAGCAAAGAGTATGAGGTCAGCAAATGTGATGGTTTCCTCACTATTTCATTTACTAGTCATATGATGTCTGGTTAGCTGTAGGTTACCTCTGAGCCTCAATTATCTAGCCTATAAATGAGAAAAAACAGTACAGTAAAATCTGCTTTATTTGATGTTTCATATATAGTCATGTTTTATCTTTAAATGTGTTTACTTTCATAGTTAATCCACCATATATCTAAATTTATAGCTCTTTTATTTTTCCTTTGCTTAACAGATTGTTAGAATGTAAGTTCTATACGGAAAAATCTAGTTTTCTTTTTCAATATGCATCACCAATTACAAATATCAAGTCAGACAGAATAAGTTGCTTAGTCAATATGCTGTATGATGATTGAGTAAATGAATACAAGCCCTGGAGTTTTCCGACACAATGGTGGAAATTTTCATATGCAATCATTTAAAGTGAGGAGACATTATTGTCATCCTGTCTAAACGATTATCTTCATTATTAAATACACTCTCCATACTTCTTTAATTTGTCACAATGTAGATGACTGCCTTCTAGATTAACTATCTCAACTTCAAGTTTAGGGAAATAATGGCGTTCTGATGATTCTCATAACAGGTCTCTAAACTGGCTGGTGTCTTGGTCAAGCAGGGTGTCAAGAAAGGTGACACCGTGGTCATCTATATGCCCATGATTCCACAAGCAATATATACCATGCTGGCGTGTGCAAGGATAGGAGCCATCCACAGCCTCATATTTGGAGGGTTTGCATCCAAAGAACTAAGTACCCGCATTGACCATGCAAAGGTGAGTGCATTCTTTAGGGTCAAGTCATTCAGCTGCCTATAGCATACCACTTCATTGTGGGGAATTCATTTAAGTATTATTTTATGATTTGATCTTCATTTCAAATGGAATACTCAAATTTAGTTCCTTCTCCCTTTCTTTCTTTTTTCTTTCTTTCTTTCTTCCTTTCTTTCTTTCACTCTTTCTTCTTGCACATATCTAATCACCATACATTAATTTTGGAGTTGTTACCATACCAAACATCCTGCTAAGTGTTTAGAGGAATATAAAATAGGAGATGAAGCATGTATGTGCCTTCTGTGTTATGTACTGACATGGATAAGACACCCCCAAAAGACAAGTGATAAATAATTTACTCCTTAGACGTATCTAAGTCCTTGATAATTTCCTTGGAACTGGGTAACAAATCTCCCTTTATGTGTGTTCCTTGGAAATGGGTAATAAACTATTATTACCCAGAGAGATTGACACATAGGTACAGGGTTAAGGGAATGTTTGGAAGATTGCTGTCATGTGTTGAAATTGGTTACCAAGATAACAAATTCCATAAACCTATTGTGTAATATTCTTGAGGTATGACCTTAAATGATCTAGTACATGATTTGTGACTTATATGGATCACTTAAAAAATGATGGACATTATCATTTCATGAATTTATCGGGGGTCACCACATATTTTTCTATAAAGGGCCACACAGTAAATGTTTTAGGATTTGTGTGCCTTCTTGTTTCTGGTGTAGCCAGTCAGCTGCTAGTGTAGCAGTGAAGTGGCCATAGAGAGTACACACAAGGATGAGGATATCTTTGTCACAATAAAACTTTACAAAAATTGCATAGCTTTCTAATTTAAAGGTAGGGACATTTTCTTTTGGGGGGCATTTAAAGAGGGATTCCTGAAAAACGGAAATATTTAAGAAGGATCTTGACTAAGATTTCCTAGTTGACCAGAATGAGATAATGAGATCCACCAACAATAGAAATCAAGAGTTAGAGGCAAGAAGGAAGACAAGTCATCTGGGAGAGAGCATGCGAGATAGTGTGACAATGTTGTGAGGGAGCTCACTAGATAGGATTCCATTGAACCTACAGAAGTAACAGAGCGAAGTTTGGAGCAGGCAACTGTTGTATTCGAAGTGATGTTAGGAAGACAGCTTTACAGTGTGGGAGACTCAGAGCTTAAGCAAGAATTTTTGGTAGGTTGTCTATTTGCAAAGCAGTTGTGAATATGTGGGGGGAAATGGCCGTGGGAAGACTGAGGAAGGAAGGAAGGAGGAGATGGCTTGCGTTACCGTTACACAAGCCCCAAATGGGACACTCCTAGCAGGGCAAGGAGTTAGTATATTAGGAATTCCCCTGGGAGGCAGGCACATGCTAACACTATATATTTGCTTCATCTGAAAATTAATTAGGTATTAGAACTGGGAAATCATTTTGTGAATTAGCCACCTGAGTTAGTTTTTTTTTGTTGTTGTTGTTTGCTTTTCTTTTTAAAAACATTGAGTTAAAGCTCATCAAAAGAAAAAAAAATCTAAAGGAATTATCAGTCACTGACCTGCAAATTAGAGGGAAAAGGTTTTTGAGGAGGCTGCTATAGACTTCAGGTTTTAGCCACAGAAATCCTGAAAACCATTTACACAAATTCATTGGGTACATTACTTAAAAAAAACCCTTTTATAACATATAGAGAAATTAATATATACAGAAATCCAGAGTCTTTTTGTGCTATGCTGATGGAGGAGTTTCATTCACAATGCACATGCTTAACTTTAGTAATGCATTTAGGGGAATAATGCATGTTCTTATGTGAAAAGCCATTCATCATGCCAAATTTAACAAACTCAGTAGAAATGTCTGTTTTTACATCCTGATTTTAAAAAAGGATAAAAAATACTTTAACAGATAAACATGTGAAAATGTCCAGACTCCATAAAATCACTGATAAAAGCTGTTAATAGAAACATGAAAGAAGTTATTTCAGACTCTCATTTTGACTTACTTTAATTGTTCAAGTGTTATAAATTTATATGTGTTCTTCATTTATTGTATAGCTTACTTTTATTTGTTCCAAATTATAATCTTAGGAAATGTTATCTAGTGCTATGCTCACAAACATTAAAAACAATAAATTGTGAACTAAAGTATGTATCATTAGAACATAATGAAACAAAACAAGAATTGTTTCTATTTTCTCTCCATATATAAAAATATATCAACTTACTATAGGTGGATAGAAAGAGTCTGAAACCATAGAACTGGCTCTCTCTCCCTCCACGACTGCTAACCTGAGGCAAGTTATGTAGCTGCCATAAGTTTCAGCTCCATGAGTATTAAGTGACATTCAAAATGCAAAATTGACTATATGTGCATATATTTGACATAGTCTAAACCTTCCCTAAATGAACTATATTGTAACCAAAAGTCAGAATTCAAGAACATATGCTATACCATGGAGTGATTATCTGTCTCCTGATTAATTTATTATATGGCAGTTTGTCTTGTAACAATATAATAACAAAAATAAAGATGTGCTTGTTTCTATAAATTATTGAAAAATTGGCTTAGATTCATGGTTGCTGTTGAGAACTTATGATGTAGTAAGGAATGTATGCGGCATAAGAGACACAAAGATAATTGCCATCCGTATTTGTCATTGGAGAGATTACTGTGTTAGGAGGTGAAGGAATGTGTAGACTGCAGTCCCATATCTGAGACATACCCAGCATGTTCCAAAGAAAGATTAATACAGACATTCCAGGGATACCTTTGAGTTACACCTAAAATTTGCAGATGAATGCACATTAATGACAGAAGCATGTCTTGGACTTATGAGATCAAAACAAATTATTTGGGAGTCCTTTTAAGAAAAATAATGTAAGACAGGCATACTGGCACACACCTTTCACCCCAGCACTTAAGAGGCAAAATCATGAAGATTTCTGTGTGTTTTAGGGAAGCCTGGTCTACATAGTCAGTTCCAGAACAGCCAGGGGTACATAGTGAGACTCTGTCTCAAAATAATAATAATAACAATAACAATAATATAAAACTACATAATGTGTACTAACATAATCCTGTATAAAGGATGAGGGAAAAAATCACTAAAATCTAAGTTTTGGATTGCCTCATTTTGTCATATTTAAGAGATACCATTTATACAGAAAACCTAAAAAAAATCTTCCTGACTTGTTTTGTTATTGCCACTTAAGAGATACAATACTCCTATAAACAAAAAGATCTTTGTGTGTGTGTTGGGGTGTGTGTGCATTTAGGTCTGTACAGATGTATAAACCTGGCAGTGCTGAAGAAGGATTATGAAGAGGTGGGCCTTGATTCCGTGGAAGCAGGAGCACAAGAAGGGGAAGAATACTGAGTATATGGGTCTGGCTGGCAGCCATCCATGTACATCTTCCCCACCGTTGAAACTAAAGGGTATACTTACTTATTAAAATTTCTATATTGAGAAAAAAAACTTGGCTTAATGAATTCTTTGGAAGGTGTTTTATATAACTCATATTTATAAGCCCTAAGTATTATTAAGTGTATGATTTTGAACAGGTAAGTGAGATTTTATGTATTAGTGGTTTAAAAAAAAGGCTTGCTGGATTTTAGGCCAGTTGTTTAGTAGTAAACAGAAACCATTTAAACATCTCTTTCAAAACATTAAATAGATAGTCTACACTGAAATATTGTGACTATTTTCACTAGGAGTATTAAAGCTTTTTCTTTTCTTTTTTCGTCTCATCTTAGCCCAAGGTGGTTGTTACAGCATCCTTTGGTATTGAACCAGGAAGGAAGGTAGAGTACATCCCGCTCTTAGAAGAAGCTCTGAGAATGGGGCAACACAGACCAGACAGAGTTCTCATCTACAGTCGTCCAAATATGGTAATTTGAAACCTTCATCTCTTCTTGTCGGTGGTATTGTACCAAAGATAAGTTTAGTTTTGGGTCATTTAAAAGCTACAACTGATTCCTATTGATTCATAAGCTACTAAATATCCTGAATACAATTGCAATTATGGGAATGAAAGAAAAAGATGCAGATCATAGTATCTGTGGAAAACTAGATGAGAATAACAATAAGGCACACGAATGCAGGTAACGGTAATACTTTGGGTTTGTGTATGGTTTTCCTGGGTTGTTATTTATGACTTTAAGTTTTATGATAACACTGGCAAATACTAACTGCCTGCTTACTATTTGGTTGTCAGATACTCCAGATATATTTTTCAAGATTCAAGTTGAATAAAAAAATCTTCTGGGAATTGTGTGAGTTAGAGGGTACTGTTACTCCTGTTTGAGGAAGAGGAATCATTGCACATTAAGATGAAGTAACCGGCCTGATTAATGACAGTCCTGATTTGGCCTCTAGCACTTCGACTCTGAATTTTTTCTTTACCCCTCTACTTCATGACCTATTGGAAAGGTCTGATTAGTGATATGCAAAGTATCTTTTAAAAATTAAGGGAAGTTTTTCTTTCTCATCCAGAGATAAACTGAGTTCCAAAAAATAAAACGAATATTTTATATAGACATATTGTCCTATGCTCCACAGAGGATGAAAGCTATAGCATTGCAAATATTTTATGCTTTTCCTTGTAACCTTGACCTGATGGTGACCTTGCTTCCATGCTCAATCAGTTAATTCTCCAACTACATACAATGGCACCAAGTCAAGTTTTGAACAGATCGTTATTCTTTCTGCAAAAGATAAATTACAAAATCGCAAACATTCGTGTGCCATTTTGTAGACCTCTTGAGAGGATTTCATCAGAGAATACTTAATTGACAAGTTCGGAGACTTGAGTCTTAAGACTGTGTCATTCTGATGAGCACATAACAAGAATCATTGCCACAATAAATTCCCCTGTGAAGCTTCAGTGTTGTGGTTCATGAACTGCCACACTCAGTGAATTCTTTGCTTTGACTGTCTCAGAGAAGAAGGCTAAGTTTCTTTCAAGCATATTTCTTTTTGAAGAGGCGTTGTTGCCATTTAAATCAAGGAACACAAAGTCAATAACTCAGTGGAGTGTGGGAAAGGGCAGAGGAGGGCAGAGGAGGCAGAGGAGTCAGAAACCCTCCCACAGAAGTGTTCATTTGAGTGTCTACTGTTTACACACAGATATGAATTCACTCAGGAGTTGTGAAGGTCTTGTGTTAGACAGAGAACCATGTGAAGTGATTTCTAGTGCCTTTGCTTACTTAGGTCTCATGGATCAGTGAGCTGGATCTTACACCTGGCTCCATTTTGCTGCTGAAGAAACTGCATCATGAACCAGGGAAGACCCAACATCTAGCTAGTTGATATAACAAGGTTCTAACATTGTTTGATAACTTTTAAACAACAAGATATATGCTATTTCCTCTGCTCCAGAAGCACATGATGTTTAGATATTCAGCCTCTTTATCCACATTTCATTGTGACTGTCTTCTCTCAATAGAATTGTTTTATCTTTTTGCCCTATCTAACTTGCTCACTTCTCCCGGTTGCCCTTCATCCAACTTGCCTCGCCAGGGATACAGAGGAAGGCTTTAAATACATCTTCTCCTTATATGAGGTCTATTGTTTAGGGAGTAATTAAATCCAGTGATTTGTTTTTTGTTTTTTGTTTTGTTTTTTTAATTTAGAGAGAAACAAATGGTGAGGCTTGGTGTTCTGTCTTATTAACTAGCTGTACTTTGGCCAAATGAGGTAAAAGTTTGGCTGCTACTCCTAAGCCTCAGGCAAACTATGATAGAACCAAAGGAATATCATGTTTCCATGGAATTCTCCCAATGTTGTCTGTTAAGAATTCCAGTATCCAGGAAGGACTTGCCTATAGAGAGAAACACACACACACACACACACACACACACACACACACACACACACACACACACACCCCTTTATACAATAAATGCTAATGTTGCTATTTCTCTCTTCATTTCCTCAGAATCTTTTACTCACACATGTTATTTTTCTTTAGCCTAAAGAATAACCATTTTTTTTCTAGTGCCCATTTCATTAGAGGCTTGTAAAAATCAAAGATGTTTGTAATTACAATTCAGTTTTCATTTTGCAATATGATGATTTTTACAGCTCTACAATTATGATGGTAAGGCTTTGATAATTTGAAATTGGTTATTTTTATCTCATGCGTAAAAAGAAATGGAAACATGATTTGCTCATAATTAAGCTGTTCTGTTTATTTAAGTGTTAGCAGTTGCTACCTATCCGAGGGAGGCAAGAGACGTCAGCTGTGCTTGAAATGTAAACTTTATAAATGGTGTTCAGTTAAGATGTTTATCTACAAATGAATTTATTCAGAAATATTATATTTATGATATTGCCTCGAAACATAATTTGTAAATGTGCATATTTAAATATATGATAATTTTTTATAGCCCTGGTTAATGGTAGGGATCCTAGAAAGTGGAAGTTACTTTCTTTTGGGAGTGCCCTGGAGCCTGTGAGCTTAGCTCAGATGTTGTCTCGATGAAGTCAATAGTTACACACATGTTTGACTGTGTTGTTCTTCTACTCTACTAAACTTTGTAATTGGATTCTGCCTGTGTTTATACATTTCTTCACTATAGACTTCCTGATATATCAGGTGTCATGGAGCATGCCTTTAATCCCAGAACTCTGGAGGTAGAGGCAGGCAAATCTCTATGCTTTTGAGGCCAGCCCAGTGTATATAAGGAGTTCCAAGCCAGTCAGGGATACAGAGTATCAAAACAAAACAAAATAAAAAAAGAAACAAAAAACCCTTCCTAATAAGCAATGTTGAATTTAGTGTTTCAAGAAATAACCTAGGTGGCTATAGTTTCTCATTAGAGTGACTTTTGCCCAAGACTACTCCCTATTCTTCATTTTTATTCCCACTTAATGACTGTTTAATTTATTTCAAGTTGTATCCTTTTGATGACATGGCTGTTATTAGAAAATTTATAAAACGAAGCCTTGTTCTTAAGGGAGGAACAACAAAAAGACTTTTTGTCCTGTTTTCTATCACATTCATGACTGAGAAGGAGGAAAACATTTTGTGCCTGTCACCTACTCTCTTTAATTTTAAAAATCGGTTTCCCTCTTGAACAAACACAAGTGGAATGCTTTCTTCCCCCTCGAAGGTGACTTGAGGTGTACCATTAGAAAGGCAGCTTCAGTGTGATTCCCAAATGTTCCTATATAAAAATATTTTAATGCACTTGGTGACATTTCCTGGTGAGGGCAGAGCTTCTAAATTAATACGTCAAGCCAGAACTGAGTTTTTAAAGTTACCTGGGCACATTCATGTTTGGAAACATGTATCTCTGAGTTAATTAAGCACAAAGATACACAGAAACATGACAGAATCATATTTAATTGTTTAGGGTAGCCACAAAGTGCAGCAAAAATGTGGTTTTATCCATGAAAGAGAAAGTAACATCAAACCACTAAATTGTGTAAAAAGACAGTTTATTAAAGAATCTACCTTAATGTGTAACTTTGTGATTTATTCATAAATCCCATATTTAGTGTCATGAAGGTACAGCTTTCTAATGGATGCTAACACTTAGAGATTTAGCCTCTCCATGGCTCTCCTGTAACTTAATCTCCTATATTTACTGTGCACACTTTTACTTTTTTGCTGTGTAGGAGAAAGTTCCTTTGATGCCAGATCGTGATCTGGATTGGGAAGAAGAAATGGCAAAAGCCCAGTCACATGACTGTGTGCCTGTTCTCTCAGAGCACCCATTGTACATTCTCTACACATCTGGAACAACAGGGCTGCCTAAGGTATTTGCTTCCTTTGGGATATCCACTGGCAGATTTCTATTGCAGGGAATCTTTGTGATTATGGGATGAAAATATTTGCAGATTGTAGCTTAATGATTAGACATAGTTCCTTTTTTTAAATAAATTCTGTATTATTATTCTTTAAAGGGAAACACTTTGGCCCTCTTTTTTCAAAATTCTCAATTGTCAACAATAAATAGCTACTTTGGTGCACTGATAAATTCAGTATGCAGTTAATTGAATATTAATTGGTCTAATGATATTTTGTAATGTATATATATTTCACTTACTATGTTAAATTTTGTGGCACTGGGCTTGAACCCAAAGTAAAAGATGCCTTTGAAAAGATAACTTTTATTCTGTTAAACTGAGGTATATACTATGTATACGATGAAATGGATTTTTTTACATTGATTTATTTTGTATGTGCATGTGTGTGTATAAGGAGTGGCCCTGTATAGCATAGCATACATGTAGAAGTTCAAAAGTTGGTTCTTTCCTTCTGTCATGTTAGTTTTAGTGATCAAACTCAGGACTTCACACTGGGTGGCAACCACTTTAACCTCGGAGCCATCTTGGCAGACCGAAATAGCCTTTTGACCGAAGATAATTTGATATGTAACTATAAATCTGTGGTTGAAGTCAAGATAATTTGAGACAGTGACTTTTTATTCAAATAACTCAGCTATTTGATTTATAATGAGGAGATACTTGACATCTTTCCACTCATCTATCATGAAAAGTATTTTTGCAAAGCATAAAGTGAAAGCATCCATATTCACCAATGTATCTGGTATCAACAAATGGCATATTAGTATGATATCTTCAAGGCTACGTCCTTCACACAGCTTCAGAATTTCCCTGTCTTAATTAGATGGCTCAATGTTCATTAGATCAGAACTTTATAGGGAGATCAACATTTCCAAATCCTCTTCATCTGTTAGTAGTGTTTCTTTGTTATTCTTAGGTGTTTGGAAAATATCATCTCAAGCATATTAAGATAATGACTCAATGAGATTTACTTTTAAAAGGATAGTTAAGGTCGTCCATGGGGAAAGTTGTGTGTGAAGAAGAGGACATCTGATAGGAGAATACATCCACTGAGATGACATGTTTCACCGCAGTGTTTTCTTTCATTGTATGCTACATGCAGTTGATGCCCAGTCACCTTTTGTTTCTTGTCGGTTGTCAAAATAGGTTTGTGAACGGACTTTCCAAAAGACAGTATTTCAATATGTTGTAGTACGCTTTGATTATTTAGAACTTTGCTCAGTTGTGAATTTTTCTCAAGGTGTAAATGTACATGGATATGAGTAATGCAATACAGACAGTAATCTATTTGTGGAGGAGATACACAACAAAGGCAAGGAAATTGTTTTTTAGGCTATCAGGCTTGGCATTTTGCTTAGGACAGCACAATTAATTGGCATGAATAGACTTGGTTCAGAGTTAGGAATGAGCCAGAGAAAAAAACATGACTTTGAATTTGAGAATAGATACAAAGGAAAATGGTCCTTGATCTGGTAAATATGGCAGGTGTTGAACATATTGTGTATGATGTGTGTTTGAGATATTAATACTAGTACAGTCAGTAATTGGAAAGGAGCCTGATTTCAGAAGCTACCCTGGGGGCTGGATATAGGCCCTTGTGAGTCATCAGTGTGTAGGTCTGGCTTTTAAATCACAGAGTGGGTGGATCTGCAAAATATGACATGCGGTATGCTGTTGTGTGATTTTTTTCCTGGATAGAGGTGAATAAACATCTTTGTGCCCCACATGGGGCACTGTGACAGATCAAAGAAATCATTCCAGTCGATCTAGAGACTTTACTGGTATTACTTACAGGAGCCTAGGTGAGGGATTACTTCAGGGAGCAGGATGACTCAAAGCTAGCTGCATCACCAAAATGCTCATCTCACCCACTTCATAGAAACGCCAACAGAGGCTTCCCACTTCTCTAGCAATTGATTACTGTTTTCCTGTCTCCCCAAGGAGGGGCCTTGCAAACCATAATACATCTCATCTCTCCAAGCTCTGTAAGTTTCATTAGGCCCCTGCATTTTATGAGCCTCTTCCTTTCTACAACAGGGAGTATTTCAATTTGGAGGACATAGCTACAGAACATTTTTGTCTCCTACTGATTTTTCCACCCACCCTTCCATCATTGTTCTCTGAGCCTTGGAGGGGCTGATATAGTAGTCTGTACTAGTCTGGTTATTTTATTTCATTTATGCTCGAGCATTGGGCCATTATGCCACAAGAATAGCTACTTATTCTCTGCAGCATGACTTGTTATGAAATTGCAGCAATCACTATCTACTGGGGAAATAAGGAAATTTCCCTTCATATCCAACCAATGTTTATAAATCTATGCATTAGAAACACATCTTGAGACAGCAATTAACAGACATCTCACATCCATTTAACAAAGTAACAGTGGGTCACTTCCCTGATAGGATTGACCTTCCCAGACATAGGTCTTTGTCTTGGGTTACAATATTAAGAATAAATTCTTCTGTAGAAGGATCCTAAAAATGAATTAGAAGACACTCCATTGAACTTATAATACTCATGCCAATCAACACACATTGGCTGGTATATTGGTAGTCTAATATGCATGGTCCACACCAAGCAGAGCGATAGGTGACAATTCACCTCTAGTGGCCTGCATAATACTACCGAAGCCACCCAATGAGGAAGGAACTTTTACTGCAATCTCATCTTGATTTCTCCAAGTCCTATAACCAAAACATGTATTGTGTTTAGCACTAGGGACCTACTTTCTAATTCTAACATAACATTTCACCAGTCAAAGCCTTTATTGTTCGTTGGGCTTCCTTGGACAAAAACTCATAGGGACATGATCCTTCTCTAGCACTGGTCTTAAAAACAACAACAACAACAACACCACCAAAATACCTGTAGATTTTGGGTATGCCTTCACCTCCTACACAGGATACTTTCTTACAAATCTTGACAGTTATTTTTGCTGTCATTACAGATATTTTCCCAACACTCAAGAATCACAATAATATAGTGAAACCATATTTATACATGTTGGGCAGGATTTCTGAGGGCCCAACACTATCTCTTTTATGTCATTGTCCATGGGTCTTAGATGACTAAGGGGACACAAAAATATAAATATTAGCACTGTTCGATGGAGATGTGCCTATCGTTTGCATCATCAAAAGAGTGATGTCTTGTCATTGATGGGTGATGCCAGCCCATTCAGCCTTCCATAATCTACACTTAATTTCCATTAGTCATCTGCCAATCACATTTTGGGTTACTGCTCTACTACTTCCACTGAGCATGTCCTCAACCCACATGACCTTGATGGGGTCAGCCTGTACCTTTGGGTCTGTTCATGTCAAAGCCAGAGTAGGGCCATGCTCTGGTATGACTGCCATTAGAGTTAAGGTCCATGTTCTTATCAATAAATTCTGGAGAGGCTCTACAGCTCTTGTGTTTCAATTAGCCACACCTGGCCATGGAAAGGCCCTGGGCAGAGTGGAAAACCTCTACCCCCAGTGCACTATTTTTGCAAGAGAGAAGTGTACATCACATACTGTAATCACCCACACCTAGGACAAGCTTGGTCTTTTGAAATCTTTTTTACTTACGCAGTTTTATCACCGAGATCTCCCATGAATCATTGCTCAAGATTTAAAGCCTTCCAGATACCCACTAGCATAGCACCTAGCTTTCTGTTATTGTCTTCCCTAGTACTCTGGCTGGACACAGAGCTTGCCCCATTTTTCCCCGTCAATCTGGGCTGAATTCTTTGGTTTGTTTTGCCTTTTGATCATTCTTCTCTTTCTTGACTGCTTCGGCACTTCAGGAACCTGGTTTACATGCCAGCCTAAATCATTCAGATCTGCTAGAACCTTCTTACTTCTTTTTTTTTTTTTTTTTTTGGTTTTTCGAGACAGGGTTTCTCTGTGTAGCTTTGCGCCTTTCCTGGAACTCGCTTTGGAGACCAGGCTGGCCTCGAACTCACAGAGATCCGCCTGGCTCTGCCTCCCAAGTGCTGGGCCTTCTTACTTCTTAAAGCTCATGTCCCAACATGAGACTCAGAAAAGCCACTAAAGCACCACATTAGCTGGGATTATTGCTCCCACAAAATTCCTGACCACTTCTCCTCTCTCAAAATAAAAACCAAACTAAACCAAACCAGTCCCCCAACCCCCAAAACAGAATAAAACATAAAATATAAAGAAGAATAGGTTCCCAAAAGCCAGCTGAAGCATTAGGGACAGGCCCTGCTCTCACTTCTAGGAGTCCCACAAGTAGACCAAACTACACAACTGTCACACATATATAGAGGGCCTAGGTTGGTCCCATACAGGCTCCCTAGCTGTTGGTTCAGACTCTGTGAGAGCCTATGAGCAGCCTGGCCCAGCCTTAATACTACTTCAACTTAGCTTAGTCTTACCTCAACTTGATATGCCACGCTTTGTTGACAACATGGGAGTCCTGCCCCTTTCTGAACAGAAACAGAGGAGGAATGGGTGGTGTGGGGAAGAGGAGAGGTAGGGGGATGGGATGGGAGAGAAGGGAGGGGAAACTTGGGTTTGGATGTAAAATAAATGAATAAACAATAAAGAATATAAAGAAGAAAGTTTGATTTTGGAGCACACTTCAAGGCTACCATTAATCATGATAAAGAGGTTATGGACACAGAAATTTGAGACAACTAGTTATTTTGTATCCATAGTATGTATGTGGTGGGGGCATGTGCATGCCACTGGGCATAGATGCTCAGAGCACAACTTATGGTATCAGGTTTTGTCATCCACTTTTTTGAGGTAGGGTCTCTGAGAATTCTCCTACCTCTACCTCCCATTTCTGTAGCATACTGTGATGACAGACAGCCACACACGACTTAATAGAGCTTTCCATGAATTCTGCCTATCTAAACTCAGGTATTCATGCTTGCACGGCAAACATTTCGCTCATTGAGCCATCATCACCCCAGGTCCCTAATAGGTAACTTT